CCCCCAGGCCTTCACCACACTATTGTCTGTGTCCATGGGTTATGCATATATGCATATAGGTTCTTTGGTTAATCTCTCCCCACCTTGTAGACTTTAGAAAAGGGATGGTTTGTGATGGTAATAAAATAAATTCCCAAGAGTTCATGTCAAAAAATAAAATGAAAGGGAAAAAGAAAGATTTGGACTTCACTCTACATTTTAAACAATGTTTAATGTTAGTTTCAACAGTGTAATAGTCCTAGTTGTTTGATGTGAAAATACATGACATTTTCCAAGTACAGTGTCTTTCAGATCCTAGCTGGCTGAATTTAGGAGATGTTGAAAATGATACAGTAATTTTACTATATAGCTGAGAAAATGAGACTAGAACAAGTATTAGTTTTTTTCTATTGCTTTCCACTATTCAAACTCAAAGCTGTAATTCATCAGTAAAGTCTAATCAACAGAGAGGCACCACAAAATATAATACCCTAATATCTCATCTTGAAGACTTCTGACTTAGGGGTCATGGGATGGGAGCAGCAGAGACCAAGTACCTGCCATCCTCCCTGCCCCAGTTTGACACTGATTCATTCCACAGAGGCAGCAGACACCCCACTGCCAAGGCTGTCTCAGTAGTGATCACTTTGCATCACCCCTGCTTTTCTAGGCATTCCTATTTGGCTCCTCTCTTTGAAACCATAGAGAGCCTGGCCCCACCTGGCACTGGGCTGGCCTTAATCATACACATCACACGCATCATGTTGCATTGCCTCAAACATCCACTCCTGTGTTACTACCTGAAGGCATCTCCTGTGGGTGGGAGATGTTGCTCTTGGGCTGGCAAAGCTGCTCATTTTCCCATCGGGAACAATTTTCACAAAGGAAATGCAAAATATCTTGTGGTTGTCCATTAAGATAGGATGCACCTTGAATAAAAAATACCCGATATATAGAGAGTTGCAACAGAAGGGCAGCTTGAATGCAAAAGCTGAACACCAATGCAGAAGCAGTGCTTTGAAAAACCAGTGTCCAAAGATGAACCCTGAAGACGCAGACTGTCATCTTCAGGAAACAGAGGACTAAGTCTTTTTCACCACAGTACTCCACAGTGTTTCATAGAGAATAAGTACTGAGTGCACACGGCCTGAATGAAATCAGGAACATCCCTTGGGCCACAGAACTGTAAGCAACATCAGTTGGTTGCTGGCCCTTTTAAAATGCTCTTTTAAAAAGTCCCATCAATGCCACTGCAATGATACCACAACCTTTTAGTTAAAGGAGGCACATGTAACCCATGTTGTGGCCATTCCGGGATCTGTTTAGATGAGACGTCCTACATAAAAACATAAAAATATGCAGAAAGAAACTTGCTAATTCTCTAAAAGAATCTGAAATAAATCGTATTCTGTATTCTTCTGGTGGCAAAATCATAATGTTTTGGTCATTATGGCACTTTGTTATCTGAAGAAGAAAAAACTGTTTTAGAGAAACTGCAGAACTCTTTTGCCTCCTCGCAGTGAAGGTAAAAATGAAGACACTGTGCTAAAGCCAATGGTATTCGGTTTTCATTCTGAAAGAAGGTGAAACTGAAAGAAATTGTGAAATTACAAAGAAATTAAAAGAATACACCATGATCTATAGGTGGTCACAATGGTACTCAAACATCCTAATAAGTAGTGGGGCTCATGATAAGAGACTCTCCACTATCAGTCTCTTTATGTTCCCCAATCAACCATGGGCTTCCCTAAGCAACTAGAATGTTCACTTAACGATGCCAAATTTTATTTCGTGCCACTGAATATTTATAATTTAAATCACCCATCCTTATATATCATGCCCACCTCTGTCATCAAGACTACAAGCTCACAGAGGACAGGAACTATTTCTCACCTACTCTCTATGAACTGCATAGCGTCTCAAGGTCATGGCCTCTGTAAAGCCTTCTGTGGTGATATGTCCTCAGCAGAAGGCATTCACCCACAGCATCCTGCTGCAGTGAGCACCAGCATTTCTCTCAAGATTTCACTATATTCTCAGTCCTCTACATACTTCAAGCCCCTGAAGAATTAAAAGAAGCTTTTTTCATAAAACAGCAGGAATCCACATCCTAAATAATCAAGACTAAAAACTAGCCATGAGCAGACACAAATTAATCAAGCTAAATTGCAGCATGGCCATTTTCCTAGTGCAATTATCTTTGGCTTTAAGACATAAATGAACCATTAGGGTCCTGAATCTCTTCTGGAAAAGAAACACAGTGTGAGCTGAATGTTCAACATGTGAGAGTCATTGCAACAAGTTCTATAGATCGGAATTGACCAAGCTAATCCTCTTTCATTATCTTTATTAGCCAACAATGCACAGGTAGTTATTACATATAATTACTGCCTAACAGACACGGACGTTTGAAATATTAACTTTCCCACAGACTCCAAATCTTCAGCAAGCAGCTCTCAACAATTCATTATAATTATCATATATGTCAGCACACTCCTATGAAATATGCATGAGCTTAAACACCACCCATGTAACAAACTGTCCAACATCACTTTTAATATAACTTACTACATTTTAGATACTGTAATTATAACGGCACCTAAGTGCCACCATAATAAATGCAAATTTAACTGCCTGGTTTGTAAGTAACCAGTACTATATAATTAATTCCACTTTAATTCAATTTTTCACATGCATTCAAGTGAAAATATTTTATAACACAAAGTATAAAATATTTATAAAGTTAATGTTTTATGACATAGGAATGTCTAAAATTACATGAATAAAGGGTAAATTAATTCTTAGACTTAGGTATAGACAAATAATTAAAAATTATGCCACACTGGAATGGCTCAGTGGTTGAGCAATGACCTATGATCCAGGAGATCACGTTTGATTCCTGGTCAGGGAACATGCCAAGGTT